GAGCCAAGTTTTCACTGTTTTCGAAAAGGTCAGGAGGGAGGAAGCTGATCTAATATCCCTGGGAAGGGAGTTATACTGCCGAGGGGCCACCACTGAGAAGGCCCTGTCTCTTGTCCCCGCCAGATGAGCCTGTGAGGTAGGTGGGATCGAGAGCAGCCCCCCCCCCCCCCCCCCCCAAGATGATCTTAAATTCCTAGAAGGTTCATAGGGAAAGATGCATTTGGATTGATAAGCCGGGGCGAAATCGTTCAGGGTCCTCCGGGTGTTTTGGACTTCAATGTTCAGCTGCTCAGCAGTTTAACCCACTGCGCCACCTGGGGCTCCATCCTTTGTGTAGTGTTCTCCGACCTTAATGTTCTCTAGATGGACAGACTACAACTCCCAGACGGCAAGTAAATGAGGATTCCTGCTGTTATAAGCCCCAAATTTTGAGGAAGGCCGCCTCAGCCAATTCCTTTAGAAGAAAAGGTAAGTATCCTGAACTCTCTTTCTAAATACAGTATGCAAAAGACCCAGCAATGAGCATAGAATTATATAACTATAGAGTTCGAAGAGACCTCACAGGCCATTGCATCCAAATGCCAGCTAAATACAAGGTCTCCAGACAGACCATCCCCCCAAAATAGTTGTTCAGCCCGTTTCTGGAGGATTCAAGAGAAAGAGCTTCTGTAGGACATTGGTTTCATTGTCAAACAACCCTCACTGTCCATACGTTTTTTCCCATGTTCAATCGAAACCTACTTTCTTGTAACTTGAAGACATTAAAGACCGGCTACCCTCCGTGGCAGCAGAGAGCAAACCTTTTCCCTCAAGGACAGTCCTTAAGACTTTTCAAAAGGGCTGTTTGGTCTCCCCATCCACCTGTAGACTTCTCTTCACCACGATGAACATGTCCAACTCCCTCAGCCTTTCCTCATATGCTTTGTTCTCCATACCTTCTATCACCCTTGTTGCCCTTCTCTGAACCTGCTCTGGTTTGCCCATATGCGTTCTAAAATGAGGTGCCCAGAATTGAACACAGAGCTCCAGATAATAACGATAATCTTTATTTATATCCCACTCCATCTCCCCAAGGGACTCGAGGCAGAATACAGCAGAATTATAAGTTGCTTACCTGTAACTGTAGTTTCCTGAGTAGTTACCTATGAAATGCACATATGATATTTCCTGCGCCTGCGCAGTTAAGCTTCGGAACCTTCCAGATTTAAAAGAAGACATTTTATGTCAAGGCCTGGCCCCGCCCCTCCTCCCCCCTCCCCTCTCGAGTATATATGGCCCAACGCGGGGCCAGGCCCCTTCAGTTCTCTTCCGCCGCAATGCAGTCGGAAGGCGGGGCATGACACTCGAGGGGAGGAAGGGCGGGGATGTGCAATTTCACAGGTAACTACTCAGGAAACTACAGTTACAGGTAAGCAACTTATAATTTCCTGTCGTAGTTAACTGTGAAATGCACATATGATAGACTAACAAGCTACTAACCCCGGAGGTTGGGCGTCATGCAACCGCCGAAAACAAGACTGCTCTCCAAAAATCGGCTGCCCTCCTGGACACAACATCCATCTTGTAATGCGACACAAAGGTAAGTGGAGTCGTCCAGATAGCAGCTCTACAGATGACGTCCAAGGGAACCCCTTTCATGAAAGCGGCAGATGTTGACACCGACCTCGTCGAATGTCCTCTGACCTGCCGAGGTAAGTCTTTTCCCGACAACTGATAACGTAAACGAATAACAGACACGATCCAGGAAGAAAAGCGTTGCGATGACAACGGCAGCCCCAACGAATCTTTACGATACTTGATGAAAAGTCTAGGGGTCTTCCTAACTCCTGCCGTTCTGTCCACATAAAACGCCAGAGCCCTACGGACGTCTAGAAAATGCAAACCCCGCTCTAGCGGAGTAAAAGGATCTTGAAAAAATGCCGGGAGCACAATCTCTTGTGACATGTGAAATGTGGTAGCTACCTTAGGGAGAAAAGCAATGTCTGTACGCAGAACAACCTTATCTTTGTGAAATTTGAGATAGGGAGGATCCACTCTAAGAGCACAAAGCTCACTCGCTCGCCGAGCCGACGTTATGGCCACTAAGAAGGCCACTTTCCAGGAAAGATGAGCAATTCCCACAGTAGCTAAGGGATAACGAAGTCCAGGCCAAAGTCAAAAACGAGCAGTCAACGATCAATCACCAACGAGTAACTCACGAGGAAGATTCTCACCTAATTCGCAAGGCGGATCAAGAGAACTGAAGGGGCCTGGCCCCGCGTTGGGCCATATATACTCGAGAGGGGAGGGGGGAGGAGGGGCGGGGCCAGGCCTTGACATAAAATGTCTTCTTTTAAATCTGGAAGGTTCCAAAGCTTAACTGCGCAGGCGCAGGAAATATCATATGTGCATTTCACAGTTAACTACGACAGGAAACTCCTGTAACGTAAACACCCTCAGACCTGGTCCTGGTTACAACAGGCTGAAGAGACCCTCAACTCCTCCTACAGCAAAGACTGAATTAAGAACAGAGGAGGGGACAAGCTGGTTGCTCTAGAGCAGTGGTTCCTAACCTGTGGTACATGGACCACCAGTGGTCCACAAGAACTAAAATATGGTCTGTGTCCTCATTGATACTACACCATTCCAATGAGAGCGACTGGTCTCGTGAGACCCTCTTATATTTATTTATTTACTTAATTACTTACGACATTTATATGCTACCCTTCTCACCCCAAAGGGGACTCAGAGTGGATTACAAGACAGATATACATACAATATATTATATTATTAGCATAGTACAATATCAGTATTAAATATTACTATATTGTACTATACCATTATATTGTAATATTATTAGTAATATTTCATGTAATATAAATATATAGTTATAATAGCATATTATTATTAGTATTATATTGTATTACATTATAATATTATAAATATTATATGTATATACAATATATTATATTACATTACATTACATTATATTGTCTTATAGTGCCAAGGCTTACTAAATATGGTTTTCTGTGGGCGAGTAGATGGTGACTACTGGATGGCATATGTTCTGTATCAGAAACTAGAGCTGATGTGGTCTATCCAATTCAACTTTTTGATGTATTTTATGTAATACAATGTTCTGGTTGCGGATGACACGATAAATAGATAAAAAATATAAATATTACATTATATTATTAGCAGGAGACAAGATGGAACTGTCCCCTGGCCCCCTCTCTCTTCACTCTAGCCCAGAGCAGCAGTTGGTGCAGGGGGAAGGGGTCCCCAACTGATGACATATGCAGGAGACAAGATGGAACTGTCCCCTGTCTTATAGTGCCAAGGCTTACTAAATATGGTTTTCTGTGGGCGAATGTTCTGTATCAGAAACTAGAGCTGATGTGGTCTATCCAATTCAACTTTCTGAATATGTACCCTAAATAACCAAACCAAATCTAAAGTTGACCAAAAATTGATTCATACCCTTTTGGTACTAAGGTTGGAGAGTGATCCCGGGTCAAAGTGGTTCACTGCTCTACAGACTAGGGCACAATGGAGGGATGGATTCAAAGTCCAGGAAAAGAGATTCCACCTCAACATTAAGAAAAATACCTTGGTGCTTAGAGCTATTTGACAGTGGAATATGCCTGGGAGGGTGGTGGAGTCTCCTTCCCTGGATGGCCAGGATCATAGAATCAAAGAGTTGGAAGAGACCTCATGGGCCATCCAGTCCAACCCCCTGCCAAATAGGAGAAATATTGCATTCAAAGCACCCCCAACAGATGGCCACCCAGCCTCTGTTTAAAAGCTTCCACACTCCAGGACAGAGAGTTCCACTGCTGAACAGCTCTCACAGTCAGGAAGTTCTTCCTAATGTTCAGGTGGAATCGCCTTTCTTGTAGTTTGAAGCCATTGCTCCATTGCGTCCTAGTCTCCAGGGGGGCAGAGAACAAGTTTGCTCCCTCCTCCCTATGACTTCCATAGGGAGGAGGGCTTGAATTGTTTCTTCCTGCAGGGCAGGATAGTGTAGGACAGGATGGTCCTTATGAAACTTTTAGGCAGACCTTTGCCAGCATTCTAAACATTAACTAATGCAGGGGTCTTCAAACTAAGGCTCGGGGGCCGGATATGGCCCTCCAAGGTCATTTACCTGGCCCTCACTCAGGGTCAATGTAAGTCTGAAATGACTTGAAAGCACACAACAACAACAACAACAATCCTATCTCATCAGACAAAAGCAGGCCCACACTTCCCATTAAAATACTAATAAGTTTATATTTAAAAATTGTTTTTCATTTTAATTATTGTATTGTTTTAAGTAGTTTTTGCACTATGAATCAGATACGTGCAGTGTCTATCGGAATTCATTCTTTTCTTTTTTTTTTCAAATTATAATCCGGCCTTCCAACAGTTTGAGGGACTGTGACCTGGCCCTCTGTTTACAAAGTCTGAGGACCCCTGAACTAATGGCTAATAAACAGAGCCAAATTAGAAGTGTTGAGTGTTTAGAATTAGGAAGAATTACTTTCTATTTTGCCATCTTAGCCAGGGTTTGCCTACCAGAGCCAGGGAATTGCTGTCTGGTCTTTCTTGCATGTTTTTTTTTTTAAATATATCTACCAGAGTTAAAACTCTAAATATTTTCCTGAAACAGTTGACAAAACTGGTTTTATGCAATGTGTAGTCACCGATACAAAGCAGAAATCTTCCTCCTGAGCAAATGAGCCGGAGAACCCTCAAGGCTGCACTCTCCCTTACTCATCCAGAGCCATCTGGAAGTTTGGTTCACCCTGAGGGAACGTCCTTCAAGAATTCCTGCACACTGTGCCCTGCAACTAAAGCACAAATCCGCAGCCTGTGCTTGGAGTCTCTCCAAAGAACTATCATTTTTGGTGCTTGAAAACATTATTTCTGAGTGGCCCAGGCTTTTTTGCCTACTCACTCCCCTTTCCTCACCATTTAGAAACTTGTATCCTGCTTAACTCCACTGTCCCACCAACTAGGAAAAATGCGTAAAAGGATACTGTCTTCTCTGCTTTTGTCCTGTGTGCTTTCCATTCCAGGCAAGGCAGCAGCCACACGTCGGAAAAGCTGGAAAGGGTTGGGGCAGAAGGAGACAAAGAAAACAGAATTAGCAAATTAGAGATGTTGTGATTAGTAGGAAAAAAAGAAAAGAAAGCTGCATAAGAAGTTCTGGCATATCAGGACAGGTCTTCCTGCCCTGTTCACAGTGCAACAGCATCATTGTCATTATCGGCCAGAGGTTTAGCACCGCTGGTAAATCATCAGCAATTATAAAATCTATCAGCCAAAAGGTTGCAAGTTCAAAGCCCCGGGTTGGCGTGAGCGGCCAACTGTCAGCTCTGCTCACTGTTTACCTAAGCAATTTGAAAACAGCTTTAGCTGTGATTAGAGAAATTAGGTACCGCTAAAAAAGCAGGGGAGGTGTTTTATGATGCCATAAAAAAGGAAGATCAGAGAATGCTGGGCGACCAAAAGGAAGGAGGAAGTCCTGACGGCTCTTCATCATAGAGACTGGAGCAACAGCACCCCCTGGACTCAAGCCCAACCTTTCATGGCACCTCCTCTTCTGTTCTGTCTGTCTGTGTATTGTCTATACAAAGCAGCATTGAATGTTTGCCGTGTATGTGTACTGTGATTCGCACTGAGTCCCCTTCGGGGTGAGAAGGGTGGAATATAAATGAAGTGTTATTATTATTTATTATTTCCAGATAGAAGGACACAAACAGAAGAACAGCCTGCCTCAGGGGAGCATTCTTGTCCATCAATGTTTAACATTTACATAAATGATCAGCCACTGCCAGAAGGGACAGACAGCTTCATCTATGCTGACGATCGTGTCATCACCACTCAAGAAGGGAGCTTTGAAATAGCTGAACAGAAGCTCTCCGAAACTCTAGGTGCTCTTACTGCCTATTACAGGGAAAACCAGCTGATTCCTAATCCATCTAAAATGCAGATGTGTGATTCTCAAATTAAGAACAGACAAGCATTTCGAGCTCTGAGGATTACCTGGGAAGGAATCCCACTGGAGCATTGCAGCGCACCCAAATACCTGGGAGTCACTTTGGACCGTGCTCTGACTTACAAGAAGCATTGCTTGCCTGTCAAGCAAAGAGTGGGCGCTAAAAACAATATCATAGGAAAGTTAACTGGCACAGTTTGGGGATCACAATCAGAAAAAGTGAATATATCTGCCTTTGCACCTCACTACTCTGCTGCTGAATATGCGTGCCCAGTATAGAATACATCTCATCATGTTAAAACAGTGGACATAGGCCTTAATGAGACATGCCACATTATCACAGGGTGTCTACACCCAACACCGTTGGAAAAATTATACTATTTAGCCAGTATAGCACCATCTCATATCCACAGGGAGTAGCAGCCAGCAATAAAAGGTTCAAGGTATCGACATTTCTGGCCCATCCTCTGTTCAGATATCAGCCAGCATGCCAATGGCTTGAATCAAGAAACAGCTTCCTAAGATCTACAGAGATTCTTGAAGGAACATCTCAGCAAGCGAGAGTCCAAAAGTGGCAGATAAAAACGCAGAACCTCAATAAGTGTCTGATACCGGATGAGAAACTGCCTACTGGGCAACTTGGAAGACACTGAACAGATTGTGCTCTGGCACCACAAGATGCAGAGCCAATCTTAAAAAAATGGGGCTACAAAGTGGAGTCCATTACATGCGAGTGTGGAGAAGAGCAAATCACAGACCACTTACTACAATGCAGCCTGAGGCCTGCCAGATGCACAATGGAGGACCTTCTCACAGCAACACCAGAGGTACTCCAAGTGGCCAGCTTCTGGTCAAAGGACATTTAGCATAATGCCAAGTTTTTAACTTTATGGGTTTTTAAAATACATTATAACTATATTCTGAATTTGCTTCTGACACGATAAATAAATAGATAGCACATTTGCAACCAAACAAAAAGAAGGTCATGTTCATGAAAGGTAAACCTCATAGTGAAAAAGGAAGATTGTACTTTGGTCTTCCTCGTCCTACATTCACTACATCTCAGAGTGTCTACTGTCAACCTAGGGTCTTTATGCAACTGAATCATTATTACTGGGTTGTTGTAAGTTTTTTTGGGCTATATGGCCATGTTCTCGAGGCATTTTCTCCTGACGTTTCGCCTGCATCTATGGCAAGAATCCTCAGAGGTAGTGAGGTCTGTTGGAATTAGGAAAAAGGGTTTATATATCTGTGGAATGACCAGGGTGGGACAAAGGACTCTTGTCTGCTGGAGCTAGGTGTGAATGTTTCAACTGACCACCTTGATTATAATGGCCTGACAGTGCCTGGAGCAAACTTTTGTTGAGAGGTGATTAGATGTCCTTGTTTGTTTCCTCTCTGTTGTTGTGCTGTTGCAATTTTAGAGTTTTTTTTAATACTGGTAGCCAGATTTTGTTCATTTTCATGGTTTCCTCCTTTCTGTTGAATCATTATTAGTCAGATCTCTCCACCTGAAGGCTCCACGACTTAAAAGTCATGGATGAAAATAACATCTTTTTCTAAAAAGTAAGCATCACTTGACAGAAACCAACTGGATTGCTCTATCTAAATCCAACTGCTGAGAAGTGGTGCTTTAAAACAGTAATTGCTTCTCCACGCTTGATCTGGGGAACAGAATTATGCTCAGGGCGAGAATCCCCACCAAAACTGCTATGCTAAAAAAGAGGGATTTGGCAAGCAAGTCCAGGCAAAGTGGATTTACCAGTCCGAACATGCAGGGACAAATCCAATTAGGGAAACATTATGAGAAGCCAAAAAGCTGCAAAGGGGGAATTACAAAGCTCCACACTCCTTCCTCTTCTGTTCAGTGTGCATTTCATTTCGCTTTTCTGGAGCAGGGCTTTTCACACAGCATGAGAGCACACCAGTGTGGCAAGAGAATGGTACAATTCCACCCATTTACTGTTCATAGCATGTGTTTTCGTACAAAAATTCAAGAGATATGCCTGTAGCAAACACAGCCAACTACAGATACGGGAGAAAGCAACCTCAAGAATATTTCTTGGAAACAGACTCTACACCAAGGGAGAATATCTGCCCAATCTTCATTTTTCTACCAATTCTCCATCTAAAAAGATGGCAGATTCTGTTGTAGCTCAGCCAGGGATGATGGTGGGTTCACTGATGATTCAGAACGGATTGTGCGATTTCCTGGAATTCAAAGTGATGCAGATTCAGGCTAGGTTCAAAGTGCTGAAGATTCAGGCCAGGGAAATGAAACTGGATCAGATAGTGCTGAGCTCAAAGGTCATAGAATTATAAAATCATAGAATCATAGAGTTGGAAGAGACCTCATGGGCCATCCAGTCCAACCCCATTCTGCCAAGAAGCAGGAATATTGCATTCAAAGCACCCCTGACAGATGGCCATCCAGCCTCTGTTTAAAAGCTTCCAAAGAAGGAGCCTCCACCACACTCCGGGGCAGAGAGTTCCACTGCTGGACGGCTCTCACAGTCAGGAAGTTCTTCCTCATGTTCAGATGGAATCTCCTTCTTGTAGTTTGAAGCCATTGTTCCGCGTCCTAGTCTCCAGGGAAGCAGAAAACAAGCTTGCTCCCTCCTCCCTGTGGCTTCCTCTCACATATTTATACATGGCTATCATATCTCCTCTCAGCCTTCTCTTCTTCAGGCTAAACATGCCCAGCTCCTTAAGCCACTCCTCATAGGGCTTGTTCTCCAGACCCTTGATCATTTTAGTCGCCCTTCTCTGGACACATTCCAGCTTGTCAATCTCTCTCTTGAATTGTGGTGCCCAGAATTGGACACAATATTCCAGGTGTGGTCTAACCAAAGCAGAATAGAGGGGTAGCATGACTTCCTAGATCTAGACACCAGGAAATCAGAAGACGCTTACTTCTTGGGAGGAGAGCAATGTCCAATCTCGATAAAATAGTGAAGAGTAGAGACATCACTGGCAACAAAGATCCGCATAGTCAAAGCAATGGTATTCCGCGTAGTCACCTACGATTGTGAGAGCTGGACCATAGGGAAGGCTGAGCGAAGGAAGATAGATGCTTTCGAACTGTGGTGCTGGAGGAAAGTTCTGAGAGTGCCTTGGACTCGCGAGAAGATCCAACCAGTCCATCCTCCAGGAAATAAAGCCCGACTGCTCATTGGAGGGAAGGATACTAGAGACAAAGTTGAAGTACTTTGGCCACATCATGAGGAGACAGCAAAGCCTAGAGAAGACAATGATGCTGGGGAAAGTGGAAGGCAAAAGGAAGAGGGGCCGACCAAGGGCAAGATGGATGGATGGCATCCTTGAAGTGACTGGCTTGACTCTTAAAGGGAGCTGGGGGTGTTGACGGCCAACAGGGAGCTCTGGCGTGGTCTGGTTCATGAGGTCACGAAGAGTCCGACTGAACGAATGAACAACAACAGACACTATGCTCCTCTTGATGCAGGCCAAAATCCCATTGGCTTTTTTTTGCGCCACATCACAGTGTTGAATCATGTTTAACTTGTTGTCCACGAGGACTCCAAGATCTTTTTCACACGTGCTGCTCTTGAGTGAAGCGTCCCCCATTCTGTATCTTTGCATTTCGTTTTTCCTGCCAAAGTGGAGTATCTTGCATTTGTCTCTGTTGAACTTCATTTTGTTCGTTTTGGCCCATCTCTCTAATCTGTCAAGATCATTTTGAATCCTGCTCCTGTCCTCTGGAGTATTGGCTCTCCCTCCCAATTTGGTGTCGTCTGCAAACTTGATGATCCTGCCTTCTAGCCCTTCATCTAATCATTAATAAAGATCCTGACCAGGACCGGGCCCAGGATGGAGCCCTGCGGCACTCCACTCGTCACTTCTTTCCAAGATGAAGAGGAAGCCTTGGGGAGAAACACCCTCTGGGTTCGTCCATTTAACCAATTACAGATCCACCTCACCGTAGTTTTGCCTTGCCTAGTTTTGGACTAGTTTCTTGTGGGTTTTTTCGGGCTATATGGCCATGTTCTAGAGGCATTTCTCCTGACGTTTCGCCTGCATCTATGGCAAGCTTCCTCAGAGGTCTGCTGGAGCTGGGAAAAAGGACTAGTTTGGACTAGTTTGTTTGCCAGAAGGTCGTGGGGGACCTTTAATGCACTCTATCCATTAATTTTAGGACACTGAGACATTGGGGAAGAGGTCATATCCTGTTTGATAAAAAGTCTCATCTGGCCCTTAAAAAAGCCTGAATATGGCCAAAAACATGAAAATATTTGTCTCCACAGAGGGATTGGTAGAGGTATTTTTGCTACGGTAACTTTTCAAAGTCTCCTGGAAGACCCTTGCCCTGAAGTATGTATATATAGGAAGATGAAACCAATATTCTGCTAAAGAATCAAAATTAACCCCAAATGTTGCAGAGTGATTGTCATCTTCCTAGGCTTGAAACATTAAACACTTTCACTCCAAGAAAAGCCTTTGGATACTGCTCCCAGATCACTTACCTGCTTTACGTTGTATCCCGCCTTTGCACTAGTTTCAATAAACATTACATTCAGCTCTTTGGCTTTCCTCTCCCCTTCCTCAATAGAAACTTGCCTGGAGAAAAATAAAAGGAAAGAAAGGTGTGGTTTAAGACAACACTGCAGGAAACGATGGCTTTGGTTGCCTTCCTGTATTCCTTCATCACAGGAAACCGTTTCAGAACATCTACCACTTGTCAAAATCCAGGCAATTCAAGACAGATGCCTCCCAGTAAGAAAAACAAGGCAGATCTGTGTTTATCACACTGACAGTGTAGACAGCACTTTATAATAAGGGAGATAGGACCCTGGCCTCAAGGATTTAGGATGCATATTTCATCTGGGGAAGAGGTGCTGGATTAGGGCTTTGGTTATAACAAGTTAGCACTCAGTAGCTCCTCTGCAAGTGAAGCAAACAGGGAAAGGCATTTGAAGGGGGAAACTTTAGGGGGAGAGAGAGCTTTGGTGGAAAGAGGCATGAAAGGCTGGGGCATAATGAGAGCAAAGACAAGGACAGGATGGGGATAAGGCTCTAAAACAGTTACCAACCTTTGCTTTTTTGACCAGGGCCCACTTGACCAGGGCCCACTTTGACCAGGGCCCATTTTGACCAGGGACCACTTGAACAGAGACCTCTTTGAACAGGGGCCACTTTGAAGAGGGAACACTTGAACAGGGACCACTTTGTCCAGGGACCACTTGACCAGGGCCCATTTTGACCAGGGACCACTTGAACAGAGACCTCTTTGAGCAGGGACCTCTTTGACCAGGGCCCCCTTTGAACAGGGAACACTTGAACAGGGACCACTTTGACCAGAGCCCACTTGACCAGGGACCCCTTTGACCAGGGCCCCCTTTGAACAGGGAACACTTGAACAGGGACCACTTTGACCAGAGCCCACTTGACCAGGGACCCCTTTGACCAGGGCCCCCTTTGAACAGGGAACACTTGAACAGGGACCACTTTGACCAGAGCCCACTTGACCAGGGACCCCTTTGACCAGGGCCCCCTTTGAACAGGGAACACTTGAACAGGGACCACTTTGACCAGAGCCCACTTGACCAGGGACCCCTTTGACCAGGGCCCCCTTTGAACAGGGAACACTTGAACAGGGACCACTTTGACCAGAGCCCACTTGACCAGGGACCCCTTTGACCAGGGCCCCCTTTGAACAGGGAACACTTGAACAGGGACCACTTTGACCAGAGCCCACTTGACCAGGGACCCCTTTGACCAGGGCCCCCTTTGAACAGGGAACACTTGAACAGGGACCCCTTTGACCAGGGACCACTTGACCATGGCCCATTTTGACCAGGGACCACTTTGAACAGGGACCACTTTGACCAGGGACCACTTTGACCAGGGCCCCCTTTGAACAGGGACCACTTGAACAGGGACCCCTTTGACCAGGGACCACTTGACCATGGCCCATTTTGACCAGGGACCACTTTAACAGGGACCTCTTTAACCAGGGAACACTTTGACCAGGGAACACTTGAACAGGGACCACTTTGACCAGGGACCACTTGACCAGGGCCCATTTTGACCAGGGACCACTTGACCAGAAACCACTTGAACAGAGCCCCCTTTGACCAGGGAACACGTGACCAGGGCCCATTTTGAACAGGGACCACTTGACAAGGGCCCCCATTGACCAGGAACCACTTGAACAGAGCCCCCACTGACCAGGGCCCACTTGACCAGGGCCCACTCTCCAACATTAGTACCAATGTTGGAGAGGGCTGGGCTGGTCAGCTCTATGGAAAGGAGTGGGAATAAAATAAATGAAATAAAAGATATAAATAAAAAGGAAGGAAGCTCGCAAAACGGATTATCGTTGGGACTAAGTCCAAACTAAGATGAAGTATTCTTCAGTACAAAGTTCAAAACGTATAATCAAGGATACTTTAAAACTTTCTGAATTGTGACAGCCTCCACCACACTCCGGGGCAGAGAGTTCCACTGCTGAAAAGCTCTGACAGCTAGGAAGTTCTTCCTCATGTTCAGGTGGAATCTCCTTTCTTGTAGTTTGAAGCCATTGTTCCATTGTGCCCTAGTCTCCAGGGAAGCAGAAAACAAACTTGCTCCCTCCTCTCTATGACTTCCCTTCACATATTTATACATGGCTCAAGCCAATTGCCAGCTGCAGCTAAAGAACCCATTAAACCAATAAGTGCTGATTTAACATTCAGTTACTGATTCAATGGACTGAATTTACTTGGGACTTGAAAGTGAATTTAAGCTTACTCAGAAGTAGGTTTTCCCAGGCTTTAGCACATGAGGTATAGCAAGATAAGAAAAATAATACTGTTGTTCTGGAACAGCTGTTCCAGGAGCTCCAATTTTGTGCTTTGCACTGAGTGTTTGTTTATAGTTCTAAGTTTCCGGGACTCTGCAGATATGTGGCTTCTTTTGGCTGCATTCGTAGGGCAAGCCACCTGTCAATTATCATTGGGTTCCCTGGTTCCACCCCCTTTCTAGGCTTTGGAGGGAAGGGAGCCTTTTCCAGTCAGTCACAGCAAGGTTGGCCAATGTATGGGATGTGTTTACTTCCCCTGTACAAAGGCTTCAAACTTTAAGAGCTCCCACAGCTTTAAGAGTCTCCTACGAACTCCAGGGATTCCTTCCTACAGCCTTGGGAGTTTCCAGGAAGACAGCCTAAAACTCTAAAGAACATCCATTGCCTGTCTGGTAGGTCCTCCCAGTGTTTCGAGAAGCAGTTCGGCCTGGCAGAGGAGCCCACACCAGTGAGGGTTGGATTTTAGTTAGCCTTGGGAGAAGTTAAAAAGGGGAATTTTCCTTTGAAGAAAGTTATTGAAGATAGTGCCTGTTCCCTGAGGACAAGTTTGAGAGAACTGATACTTTACCAAGAAAGCTTTACAATTCCTGTTTGATTCATTAATAAAAGACTTTGTTGTACCTTTTAAGCCATTTGAAGATTCCTTTTGTAAAGGAAGCCTCTGAGAACTTTTTCTAGGGCCCCTGGCTTCCCACTGGTTAAAGGTTACACATCCTATATATAAAGTCAACTAGCAATAGGCCCAGCGGTGACAGAACAACTGTATTTCATTGCATAATAGTCGCACCCCCATTTTTGGGTGCCAAAATTTTGTTTTCCTTGTGTAATAGTCACAATACTCCCATTTAAGGCTGATTTTCCCTTCTTTCTCTGAAGGCAAAGCAGTTTTAAAACTACAAAATGGAGTCCTCTGAAGCTCCATTCATCCCTCTTCCCTCCGAGGCCTTGAGGCCGTTTTTAAAAACCTGAAATGTAGATTTCCAGAACTCAGATCTTTCCTCCTTCCTCTTTTTCTCTAAGAAACCCAATTCCAGGTTTTTTAAATTGCCTTAAGGCCTCAGAGGGAGGAGGGAGGATGGAAGAGCAGAGCTCCAAAGGCCTCAATATTATAGTTTTTAAACTGCCTTGCTTTTGGAGAAAGAAGAAGAAAGGGAAAATCAGCCCCAAATGACTCTACAGTTTAAAACAAACAAACAGAAACAGATCACACATCCTCACCCTTTTTGGAGGGAAAAATAACCAAGATAATTTTTTCCTCACATAATAGTCGCACCCCCTCCTTTTGATAAAAAATGGAGGATGCAACTATTCTGTAATCAAATACGATATTCAAGAACATGGAATATACCCAGGAAAGAAGTTTCTGTCTTCCACTTATCTCCCACTTATGGTGGGAACCATTGATTCATAGACCTCTAGGTCCATTCAAGGCAGTGGTTCTCAACCTGGGGTCCCCAGATGTTTTTGGCCTTCAACTCCCAGAAATCCTAACAGCTGGTAAACTGGCGGGGATTTCTGGGAGTTGTAGGCCAAAACACCTGGGGACCCACAGGTTGAGAACCACTGATTCAAGGCATGCAGCCATAGAAAGTTATTTACATATTTTTTTCTGGTTTTTTGTAAACATTACATTGCACCTCTTACAGACTGATTCACTGAGTACTCTCCTACTGAAAAATAACACACATATATACATGTGTGTGTGTGTTTATTTAGCATATGGGTTATAGATGTGTTGCAGTCACCACTGCCACATTTTCTCAAGAACCAAAATAATCAGAATTTTTCCTTTTCAACAAGATGAGAGCGTAGCTTTTCAGGGTTCTGACTACAGCTCTCCTGCCATATTTTCAACCACACCAAAATTTCTTCATATGCCAGAGGTAAGATTCCCATATACTAAAACTCTTTCTTAATTTTCAATAATGATTAAGGAATGGATTGCCTCACCTCTTATCTGCTAGGTCTGTTTTGTTTCCTACTAGCATGATGATGACATCACTACCTCTTTCCGTTCTGACGTCATCGATCCATTTTGTGGTTTGCTGGAACGAGTTTACATCTGGGAAGGAAAAGAACAACAAGGCGGCCAAGGGTCACTTTGCAGTGCTCAGGTCTTTACACAATGTCAAAGTGTTCATGATGTCTGTTTGATGAGGCAGGTCCTCAGTATCAGTCATCAATGTCAGAGGTTTATCAAGATATGATAAACCTGTCCGCGCATCCAATGAAAAGGGGCATGAGCTGATGGAACATGCTGTTTTTTCTAACACAAAGAAAACAGCTATTATGAGGTTGTGTTTCCTTTAAATACTGAACCAGGGTGTCACATAACAGAATTCCTCAAATTGCACTAGAAGAATACATCTTCAAAAGAGGTGTTGTATCTGCTCTTAGCATATGGCCTGGGATCCTTAAGGGAAAAGGAGGGGAAGAATCAAAACTGTGATGGGTTCACTGCACCTAAATTATCTGGAGGAGTCGAGCAAAAAAGAGAGTGGGGAGAGAAATCAAGCAAAGTAGCACTTGACTCACTGTTGAGATGAATAAAACAGAAGAGGGGGCTGAGTATTCAATATGCACAGAGCATAAAATGAGGCTGGCATTGGTATGGAAGATTGCCTCCCCTTAGGGAGACCGAGCATAATTCCCAAAGCACTGCTATCTAGTTTGCTACTTGCAATGCTTATTTAAACACAAGACCTGTTTTTTTCCCCTTCTTGGGAAAAAAAGGCAATTGATAATATTAAATATTTTGCTAGCTTGCTATTGTTTTCAATTGCTCTCCTCTGGAGCAACTGAGCTATAGAAGGTATAGAAACTGAAACTACCAAGTGAACAAGGCAGCTCTTTTTCTATTGACAAAAGGCTTTATACGTAACAGCAATACTCCTCCACCATTCTCAAAATTGTATAGATTTTTAATTTTTTGTGGGAGCTCCAAGAAAGCAAGATGAGGGAAACCACATCCAAAGTACCTGGACAGAATACTTGTGTCTAAGGAAGATAGCATCACCTGGGATGTAGGAACAATGCCCACTTTGATCAAGTCTCTTTAAGGATGGTTTAGTTCATGTTTACCAAGAACTCAGCTGAATTCCAACCTAAGATGCAAAGATGCTGGAAAGAGAAGACACTCAGCAGGTGCTGAGCCTCGGAACAATATTTCTTAATGAAGGTTCAGAGCGAGGCAGCAGCACAAGTGGAACCATTCTGTGTAGCACAAGATAAACTCAACCCACTCGGAGTTGGGGACATGGAAGATATGGTGTGTTGTGATGGCTTTTGCTGCAGAGATTACTTTAAAAGTGGTTTCTTTCAGAGGTGGGCAACTGCAGCATATTTGGGAGGCAGTTTTCTGACCTGGGACCTTTCAAGAGAACAGAAATGGGCAAAAAAGCAAGAAAACAAGAAAAGAAAACAGTAATGTCATAAAGCTCACTTCTCTAGTTTGAAAACTATTAAACTGTGAAACCTATTTACAGGTAATAAGAGAGGCATTCATTTAAGATTTCCCCTATTTACAAAACAAACAAACAAACAGACAAAACACAAAGTTTGCAAGATTGGTAGTTGATTAAATGTCCTTTGACCAGTATCTGGCCACTTGGAGTGCCTCTGGTGTTGCCATAAGAAGGTCCTCCATTGTGCATGTGGCAGGGCTCAGGTTGCATTGCAGTAGGTGGTCGGTGGTTTACTCTTCTCCACACTCGCATGTTGTGGATTCCACTTTGTAGCCCCATTTCTTGAGGTTGGCTCTGCATCTCGTGGTGCCAGAGCGCAGTCTGTTCAGCGCCTTCCAAGTTGCCCAGTCTTTTGTGTGCCCAGGGGGGAGTCTCCCATTTGATATCAGCCACTGATTGAGCCTGCCACTTTTGGACTTTCGCTTGCTGGGGTGTTCCAGCAAGTGTCTCAGTAGATCTTAGAAAACTATTTCTTGATTTAAGTCATTGGCGTGCTGGCTGATACCCAAACAAGGGATGAGCTGGAGATGTCACTGCCTTGGTCCTTTCACTATTGGCTGCTACTTTCCAGCGGATGTCAGGTGGTGCAATACTGGCTAGACAGTGTAGTTTCTCCAGTGGTGTAAGGTGCAGACACCCTGTGATAATGCGGCATGTCTCATTAAGAGCCACATCCACTGTTTTAGCATGGTGAGATGTGTTCCACACTGGGCCTGTGTACTCAGCAGCAGAGTAGCATAGCGCAAGGGCAGATATCTTCCCTGTGTCTGGTAAGATTTCCCCTGACCCACTTCTATCTATCACAGGATGCTGAAACTGCACATGTGTAATGATATCAGTCTCTATAGGTTACATGCCAATTTCCAACTCAGAACTGAGAATGGCCTTGATGTTACAGGTGCTGAACTGGTGTGAGGTTTGATATTGGGCTCAGTGGACTACAAAGCAGTCCTCAAGTTTCTTTCCTTGAAGGCCGAACACCAAAGGAGATGTTCGATGAGATGAAAGAGGTTTATGGTGATGATTCCCCATTATATGATGCAATCAAGAACTGGCATCGTCAGTTCCAATGTGGTCAGACTTTGGTACAAACAGCTCCAATTCCAGGGTGACACCACTCTGTTATTGATGTACACACCATCCAGCAAGTGGAGGTCGCCATTTTGGAAAATCGTTGCGTAACCATTTGCCACCTAGCTCAAAATGTCAAGACTAGTGTGGGGTCAGTGGAAAAAATAATCCAAGACCATCTTCCCATGCGTAAGGTATCCACTCGCTGTTTCCCCTGGCTGCTCACACCTTTCCAGAAGCAGGAACGAGTCGAATGCTCCCAGACACAATTGACAATGATGTGTCATGGAAACCAGGAGGACTTTTTCAACAGATGGGTCACACAGGTGGAAAGCTGGGTCCATCACTCTACTCCTGAGACTAAAGTCTAGTTGATGCAATGGAAGCATCATGATGCACCACCTCAAAGGAGGCACGCGCCCAACTCTCAGGAGGCAAGGTCATGCTGACAGGATTTTGGGATCAGCACGGAGTATTATTGCATTTGCTAGCCAAGAGTACTGATTACTGGGGAATACTAGGCTTCACTGCTGCAGACATTGCGAGAGGCCATCAAAACCAAGAGACAATGTGGCATGCTCACCAAAAGTGTCCACCTTCTGCATGACAACGCACCAGTTTGCAACTCACATGTTGCTCAAATGGAAGCATGATTCTGTGGCTTTGAAATTCTACTGCACCCCTCTATTCACCCAACCATGCACCACTGGACTTTCACCTCTTTCCATCAATGAAGTTATTTTTGAAGGGCAAGCATTTTTCAGATGATGAGACTCTGAATTCCAGTCACAACATGGCTTTTGGAGCAACCTGTTGACTTCTACAAGTAAGGTGTTTACAGTTAGAATAATAGAATCCTAGAGTTGGAAGAGACCTCATGGGCCATCCAGTCCAACCCAATTCTGCCAAGAAGCAGGAATATTGCATTCAAAGCACCCCTGACAGATGACCATCCAGTCTCTGTTTAAAAGCTTCCAAAGAAGGAGCCTACACCACACTCCAGGGCAGAGAGTTCCACTGCTGAACGGCTCTCACAGTCAGGAAGTTCTTCCTCATGTTCAGATGGAATCTCCTTTCTTGTATTTTGAAGCCATTGTTCCTTGTCCTAATCTCCATGGAAGCAGTAAACAAGCTTGCTCCCTCCTCCCTGTGGCTTCCTCTCACATATTTATACATGGCTATCATATCTCCTCTCAGCCTTCTCTTCTTCAGGCTAAACATGCCCAGCTCTTTAAGCCGCTCCTCATAGGGCTTGTTCTCCAGACCCTTGATCATTTTAGTGCCCTCCTCTGGCACATTCCAGCTTGTCAATATCTCTCTTGAATTGTGGTGCCCAGAATTGGACACAATATTCCAGGTGTGGTCTAACCAAAGCGGAATAGAGCATGGGGAGCATGACTTCCCTAGATCTAGACACTAGGCTCCTATTGATGCAGGCCAAAATCCCATTGGCTTTTTTTGCCGCCACATCACATTGTTGGCTTATGCTTAACTTGTTGTCCACAAGGACTCCAAGATCCAAGTTGCCTAAAGAGATGGGAGAAGTATGTGCCCCTAGGTGGCACCTATGTAGAGAAGGACCAATAACTGGGCCAAGTTTCATTGCTGTCAGACTACAGGAAGTGGGTCAGGGGAAATCTTTAATGAATGCCCCTCATAACTAAAGAGTCTGGAGTGGTTCTCAACCTCTGGGTCTCCAGGAAATCCCAGCCAGTTTCCCAGTTTCCTGCCTGGGGAATCCTTTGTTGGGAGATGATTAGCTGGCCCTGACTGTTTCTTGAATGGAATTCCCCTGTTTTTATTGTTGTTCTTTCTCTACTGTTCTGTCTATCTAATCCTTTATCTAAGATGCATTATCTGCAACAATAAAAGTACCGGGATTGTGGCGCAGCTGGCTGAGTGTCAGCTGCATTAAGATCACTCTGACCAAAAGGTCATGAGTTCGAAGTCAGCCCGGGTTGGAGTGGGTTTCCAACCAATTGTGTAGCTTGTTATCGACCTTTGCAACCCAAAGGCAGTTGCATCTGTCAAGTAGGAAAATTAGGTACCACTTTAAAGTGTGGGGAGGCTAAATTAACTAATTTATGAGGCCATAAAAAAGACTCCAGCAAAGCATGCGGGGAATGCGGAAGTACTTCATCAGTGTCGCAGATGGACGATGAAAGTGACAGCTCCCCTGGTGGCCAGAAAAAGTTAAATAGCCTCTGTGTATGTCTTTATATGTTGTATGTTAAAATTGGCATTGAATGTTTGCCATATATGTGTACACTGTAATCCGCCCTGAGTCCCCTGCGGGGTAGGAAGTGCGCAATATAAATGCTGTAAATAAATAAATAAATAAATAAATAAATATGTTTTTACCTTTTTAAAAAACCTTACCAGCACATCTTGAGTATTTTCTCTCCTGTTTCCTACCATAAGCTCATATATACCACTAGCTAAGTTGCACTCTTCTCTACTAAAGATGTGAAATATTCCTACACAAAAGTGATTGTGTGAGAGAAGTTATTTTGGGGGTATGTGAGATGAGTAAGTTGTCATCCTTGGAGCTAATACTCCGCTATTAGAAGGAGTGGAGAAGCAAACAGCCGATGACTTCACTGGATAAGCCTGACTTGTTTCAGAAGAAGCCAAACATGTGACAGTGACACCCACCGCACAGCAAATGAGCTCAGATGGAAGATGGGGCCAGATGCTTTTTGATGATTTTCGGCACGCGTGGGGAAAGGGGAGAGGACATGTTGAAAAAGGGATAGGAAAAGTGTCAGAGGTTTTGCTTCAAGGGTGGAAATCCTGGTATATCTTTGGGCAAAAGCTACTTGATATGCTCAAGAGGCCACAATGCTTAAAATGTAGGGAGTCAGAGATGCCAGGAGTGAAACCAAGAAAATGCCAGATTTCATCCTGGGAGGCCTTCATTCAATGTGCAATTTTTTTCCCCTAACCAGTGTTGAGATTGTGCTTCCTGCATGTGCTGGAAGATATATTTCAATAAATGGCTTTGGACGTTGCAAATAGAAGCTGAATAAACAGGCGGTAAGTTGAGACTAGCTGTAAAGGTTCAGTCCCGGCAAACCCGGCTCAAAGCCCGACCCTATCCACAAGACATAGTAGAAAGTCTCCCGCTTGAAGCTCCAGGCGAGAAGGAAATTTTCATGCCACAATGAGGAACAAGCAGATGATTGTGATATGGCATGCATGGCGAATGCTTGAGGGTGACAGAAGAGAGAGTGAGAGAGCACAAGCAGAAAAGAAACCACCGGAAATCCCCCCCACTCACTTGTGATATCATAAACAACAACTGCAACAGTGGAGTCACGAATGTAGCTAGGAATCAAGCTCCTGAACCGCTCTTGACCTGCTGTGTCCCACAATTGCAACCGTACCTAACGGAAATCGGTCAAAAAAACAAGCAAGAAAAAACAAAACACACAGAGTCAAAGCCAGAGCCAATATACCTACTTGTGATATCGTAAACTACTACAGCAGCAGCAGAGTCACGGATGTAACTGGGAATGAGGCTACGGAAACGTTCCTGACCCGCAGTATCCCAGAGCTGCAACCTGATCTGTGGGATGGGAGAAAATTAAAGAAAAAGCCAAACTGCCACTAAAAATGAATAAAAATCGATTGCTTTTTATCAAACAAAAAAGCAAAGTAAAAGATATCTCTCTATATATAGAAAATTCATGCAGGACGGGACTCGCTTTGAGGCTGTGAGCAGAAGCAGATCGCCAGTGGCACTTTTCATTATCTGCATGGCAGTATACACTTGCCAATCCTAAATATACTAAAAGCCCCAGATCCCATGTGATCTTGGAAGGTAAGCAGGGTCAGGCGTGGTTAGTACTTGGATGGGAGATCACCCATTAATATTAGGTGATGTAGGCTCTATGTCAGAGGAAAGAACTGACAAAAACACCTCTGAGTAATCCTTGCTTTGGGAAAGTTAACTTGATGGTATACACATGCACACACACACACAAACTTGGCAGGCAGCAGGAAATGCCAACTTGGACATTTTACTTTGCAAGCATTATTTGATATATCCTATGGCAGGTAGCTGGGGAAATTGAACGGAGACTCCCCGAGGGGCTAGGGATATAATGAGTGGAAGGTCCGATCAGCTTTATGAGAAAATAGCTGCAAAAACCAGCAATCCTAGACAACAGCCAGTACAAAATACACATTTCAATTAAAGTAGCATGTAAAAAAACATAAATGAGGAAACTAGCATTCATGAGGAGGGAAACATTCACTTCTGTGGTTAATTCATACCCTGTAAAGGATCTGGAATGGTTAGAAGCTAAACACGCTTGGAGAAAGCCTTCGACAAGGCACAAAATCCATGCTGCCAGGTGTTGGATCTACCGTTTAGAGTTTCGTTTCGACTCTACAAACATGATTACTGTATTCAAAGTGCAGAAGCATCAACAGTTGTATACAGAACAGTGATTCCCAACCTTTGAGCCTCCAGGTGTTTTGGACTTCAGTTCCCAGGGTTCCTAAGAGCTAGTAAACTGGCTGGGATTTCTGGGAGTTGAAGTCCAAAACACCTGGAGGCCTAAAGGTTGGGAATCTTTGATACAGAACAATTAGAGACAGAAGGAGCCCTGTGGTGCATGCCTGCTTTCACCTGATTCCTAGATCTATGTTGCTTAAGGTGCTTTGCTTCCTGCCTGCATGAGACAGAGAAGGCTTCTGATGTTCTCCCTTCTTTCCAAATATTTTAGTGGTTCCTTACCCGTCTGTTTTGAGAAGGGAGCATCATGAGGCTTCTCTGACTCAATCATGTCATCCTTATATACAGACATGAGCAATAACATTAGTCATTCTTCTACCAAAGTTAAGTAACTTTTGTCTATCCACTCTCTTATATTTTCCATTATGTTATTTTGTACTGTTTATTTTACTTGATTGATTGATTTATTTTATTGTGATGTTATTTTGTTGTTTATATTTTACGTTGCTGTAATGTATCGCTGGGCTTGGCCTCATGTAAGCGCTCTGAGTCCCCTTTGGGGAGATGGTAGCGGGTTATAAATAAATATTACTATTACTATTATTATTATTATTATTATTATTATTATTATTATTACTACTACCAAGGCCCCCAGTGGCGCAGTAGGTTAAAGCGCTGAGCTGCTGAGCTTATAGAATCATAGAATCAAAGAGTTGGAAGAGACCTCCTGGGCCATCCAGTCCAACCCCATTCTGCCAAGAAGCAGGAATATTGCATTCAAATCAGCCCTGACAGATGGCCATCCAGCCTCTGTTTAAAAGCTTCCAAAGAAGGAGCCTCCACCATACTCTGGGGCAGAGAGTTCCACTGCTGAATGGCTCTCACAGTCAGGAAGTTCTTCCTCATGTTCAGATGGAATCTCCTCTCTTGTAGTTTGAAGCCATTGTTCCGTGTCCTAGTCTCCAGTGAAGCAGAGAACAGGCTTGCTCCCTCCTCCCTGTGGCTTCCTCTCACATATTTATACATGGCTATCATATCTCCTCTCATCCTTCTCTTCTTCAGGTTAAACATGCCCAGCTCTTTAAGCCGCTCCTCATAGGGCTTGTTCTCCAGACCCTTGATTTTGTTGACCGAAAGGTCGCAGGTTCAATTCCGGGGAGTGGCATGAGCTTCCGCTGTCAGCCCTAGTTTCGGCCAACCTAGCAGTTCGAAAACATGCAAATGTGAGTAAATCAATAGGTACCGTTCCGGCGGGAAGGTAAGGGGACTCCATGCAGTCATGCCGGCCACATGACCTTGGAGGTGTCTATGGACAATGCCGGCTCTTTGGCTTAGAAATGGAGATGAGTACCACACTCCCAAGTCAGGCATGACTGGACTTAATGTCAGGGGACAACCTTTACCTTACCTACTACTACTACCTGAAACAATACCAGTATTGCCATATTTTCCCTCCTTTTTCCTACTATACGCTAGTATACAACACAGGCTGCTTTGCTATAGATACCAAGTGTTCCTACATACATTTTTTTCATGTCAGGAGCGACTTGAGAAACTGCAAGTCGCTTCTGGTGTGAGCTAATTGGTCATCTGCAGGGACGTTGCCCAGGGAACACCCAGATATTTTACCATCCTGTGGGAGGCTTATCTCATGTCCCCGCATGAGAAGCTGGAGCTGACAGACATGAGCTCATCCCGCTCCCTGGAGTCGAATCACCAACCTTTCGGTCAGCAGTCCTGCCAGCATGAGGGTTAACCCATTGCACCACTGGAGGCTCCTTTCCTACATACTGCTGATGTATTACATTGTACATTAGCTTGGTGAAGGCAGCTGTCATGTTAAAAGTAGCAGGACAGAATGATGTGGAACTAGAACTACCATTTTCTCCAGCCACCATTTCACCATCCATGATTGCTGGAGGAGATGGGAATTGTAGTACAAAACATAGAATCAAAGAGTTGGAAGAGACCTCATGGGCCATCCAGTCCAACCCCATTCTGCCAAGAAGCAGGAATATTGCATTCAAATCACCCCTGACAGATGGCCATCCAGCCCCTGTTTAAAAGCTTCCAAAGAAGGAGCCTCCACCACACTCCGGGGCAGAGAGTTCCACTGCTGAACGGCTCTCACAGTCAGGAAGTTCATCATGTTCAGATGGAATCTCCTCTCTTGAGGTTAATGGTCTGGGGGAGACTAGCCTTGGTGAAAACAACTTGGGAATCTTTATATCTGGCACTGTGGGTTTCATTAGAGAGAGAAAAACAAATTTGCAGTAGTAAATAACGATTCAATTATATCCTTCAGAACCTCAATACTGTTACAAGAGGGCAAATAACAATCACCCCACTAAAGTTAGAAATAGGCAGGCTTGGGTTGTTTAGGAACTTACAGTTACGACAAAAGGGAATTTTAAAGTTTGGTGGGAATAATATTTTATTGTCAATGCACTATTTTATTCTTCATAAGATCGTCTACTTATTTTATTTTAGATCTGAGAGCAGCCAGTACGTGTTGGGCTGGATTCAATTTTCTGTGGAAGAATCAATCTCTGAAAATTCTAGTCTTCCTCTGAAGTTTCCCAAATTAACGTATGTACTCGAGTATAAGCCGATTCAAATATAAGCCGAGGCACCTACTTTTACCACAAAAAACTGGGCAAACGTATGGACTCGGAAGATAAGCCAAGGGTGAGAAATGCAGCAGCTACTGGCAAATTTCAAAATAAAAATAGATATCAATAAAATTACATTAATTGAGGCATCAGTAGTTTTTGAATATTTCCGTAAAACTGTAATTTAAGATAAGACTGCCCAATTCTGGTTAAACCATTATTCTAACCTTCAATGTAAATGTGCTTACAAATCCTTCCAATAATAATAAAGAGAGTAAAATAATAAATGTAGTAATAGTAATAAATAAGAGTAAAATAATCAATGTAATAACAATATAGTAATAACAATAAAATAATAAATGTTTTTTTTGTCGTGTCAGGAGCAACTTGAGAAACTGCAAGTAGCTTCTGGTGTGAGAGAATTGGCCGTCTGCAAGGACGTTGCCCAGGGGACGCCCGGATGATTAGATGTTTTTATCATCCTTGTGGGAGGCTTCTCTCATGTCCCCGCATGAGGAGCTGGAGCTGACAGAGGGAGCTCATCCACCTCTCGCCGGATTTGAACCTGCGACCTGTTGGTCTTCAGTCCTGCCAGCACAGGGGTTTAACCCACTGCGCCACCGGAGGCTCCCGGTGTATAAATGTAATAATATAAATGTATAATTTATATATATGTATAAATGTATAATAATTATAAATGTAATAATATAAATGTATTAATAATAACATGTAATAATAATAATAATAACAAATAGAGTAAGATAATAAATGTAATAATAAAAATAAAAATAGAGTAAAATCAATGGAGAAAAAATGTAATAATAATAATAGAGTAAAATAATAAATACAATAATAATAATAATAATAACCCAGTAAAATAATAAACAACTTTGACTCAAGTATAAATCAAAGGCTGCTTTTTCAGCCTAAAAAAGGGCTGAAAAACTTAGCTTATACTTGAATATATACGGTATGTTTCTTCTGTTTTGAGTGGTCTTCCCAAACCTCTGGGGCCATTTTTATTTGGGAGCGGGAAGTAGTGTCTAAAAGGATTTTGGATTTCAGGAGAGGAGGAGAAAATGTCAAAGATCCCCCTTTCTCTCAAGGACTGGACGTCTTCCACAGATGGAGGATGACCATTGTAAATAAATAAAGAGATACAGGAGCAAAGCATCTGTTTTCCATTACAGGAAATGCTTGTTTTGCATTTGTTATTGTGGTATTGAGGAAACTTAAACTCTGCTGAGCTATGTGCTGATAGACTTAAATGAATGTCTTCAACAGTTTGAAAACAAAAGTCAGTTTGCAAAACAATATTTTGAAACACTGTAAGAATTCGATCACTGAGAGAACTCAGTTTCTGTCTCTGCATCCTGTATGCCCTACAATGGTATAGTTTTCATGTTTGCTTCCAAAACATCCTTGAACTTGATATTTTAAGATATCGTAGAAATCCCACATGGCATCCAATGCAGCAACAATAACTATCCTCCATGATCCAGTGGAAATCTGACTGGAATTACTTCCATTCGCCTCACCTGGCAATCCAAGCTGCTGTTAAGACTTGGATCTTGCTAAGATGTTTAGAAAATCCATTGCACTCTCTGCCTCAGAGTACAATCTAGTTACTACATAACTCTTACTCACTGTGCGATCCTCCAAGTACATGGTTTTTGATAAGAAGTCGATGCCAATTGTCGCCTGCAAAACAAAAATGTCACTGGTGAGTCAATAAGTGCATTCAGGACATCTGTGTTCCTAAGTTCATGGAAATCAGACACTCCATATTTATGAAAAAATACAACACAAAAACACCCTCCGATCCCGGTTAGGAAGTACTAGGCCTTGCAATATTAAATGACGCATAAAACTCCCTCCCGATTTCAAGGAGATAGTCAGGGCTTCCCACCCACAGCAATGCTGGTGATTTCCATAGTAGATTTCAGAATAACCCTTCCTCAGAAATGGCTTCCTCATGAGGCCATTTTCAATCATTTCCAGCCTTTCACACAGAAATTTGCAAAATTTGTGTTGTTTTTTTAATCTGTTTGTTTGTTTTGTTCTGCTAGAAATGTAATACAATGTTCTGGTTGCGGATGACACGATAATAATACACAGAAATTACCTTGGCAATGCTCAAACTCACCTGAGCTGAACTATTTCATTTATCTGAGAAACTATGCCACTTGACAATACATATCAATGCCACAAATTTAAAGTGTTTTAGCACATCAACTCCAGCAAAGGATCACCGCCTTGTCGGGGCGCTGGAGCTTGAGCACCTCAATGATGTCATGAGCGAAACCGGGAAGGGACACCCAAGACGGGACGGTTGTGGCAGAGAGGTCAGACCAAGCGTGATCCCTGGGGAAGGCAATGGCAAACCACTCCAGTATCCTTGCCAAGAAAACTAAATGGACCAGTACAACCAGAGATATGTCGGTATGCCATTGGAAGATGGGACTCCCAGGTCGGAAGATGGCCAAAATGCTACTGGGGAGGAGCAGAGGATAAGTTCAACTAGCCCCAGATGTGATGACGCAGCTAGCTCAAAGCCGAAAGGAAGGCTAGCGGCCGACGGTACTGGAGGTGAACGACGAATCTGATGCTCTAAAGATCAACACACCATAGGAACCTGGAATGTAAGATCTATGAGCCAGGGCAAATTGGATGTTGTTATTGGCGAGATGTCAAGACTAAAGATAGACATTCTGGGGGTCAGCGAACTGAAGTGGACTGGAATGGGCCACTTCACATCAGATGACCACCAGATCTACTACTGCGGACAAGAGGAACATCGAAGAAATGGAGTAGCCTTCATAATTAATAAGAAATTCGCTAAAGCGGTGCTTGGATACAACCCAAAAAATGACAGAATGATCTCAAATCGAGTGCAAGGAAAGCCTTTCAACATTACAGTGATCCAAATATACGCCCCAACCACAGCTGCTGAAGAAGCAGAAGTAGATCAGTTCTATGAGGATCTGCAGGACCTACTGGATAATACACCAAAAAGAGATATTATTTTCATTACAGGAGACTGGAATGCAAGGTGGGAAGTCAAATGACAACTGGGATCACAGGCAAGCATGGTCTGGGAGAACAAAATGAAGCGGGACGCAGGCTGATAGAATTTTGCCAGGAAAACTCGCTGTGTATAACGAATACTCTCTTCCAACAACCTAAAAGACGGCTTTACACATGGACCTCACCAGACGGTCAACACCGAAATCAGATTGACTACATCCTTTGCAGCCAAAGGTGGCGGACATCCATCCAGTCGGTGAAAACAAGACCTGGGGCTGACTGTAGCTCAGATCACGAACTTCTTATTGCCCAATTTAGATAAAACTAAAGAGATCAGGGAAAATACACAGACCAGTTAGATATGATCTCACTAACATTCCTAGCGAATATACAGTGGAAGTGAAGAACAGATTTGAAGGACTAGATTTAGTAAACAGAGTCCCAGAAGAACTATGGACAGAAGTCCGAGACATTGGTCAGGAGGCGGCAACAAAGTACGTCCAAAGAAAAAGAAAACCAAGAAGGCAAAATGGTTGTCTGCTGAGACACTGGAAGTAGCCCAAGAAAGGAGGAAAGCAAAAGGAAACAGGGATAAGGGGAGATATGCCCAGTTAAATGCGCAATTCCAGAGGTTAGCCAGAAGAGATAAGGAACTATTTTTAAATAAGCAATGCATGGAAGTGGAAGAAGACAACAGAATAGGAAGGACAAGAGCCCTCTTCCAGAAAATTAGAAACATTGGAGGTAAATTTCAGGCAAAAATTGGTATGATAAGAAACAAAGATGGCAGGGACCTAACAGAAGCTGAAGAGATCAAGAGAAGGTGGCGAGACTATACAGAAGATTAAAGTAGGAAAAAAGAGAAAGCAAGAGAGAAAAAGAAAAAAAAAAAAACCTAAACTAACCTAAGCTATTCTAAAAACAGGCAAAACTTGGCATGATAAGAAACAAAGATGACAGGGACCTAACAGAAGCTGAAGAGATCAAGAGAAGGTGGCGAGATTATACAGAAGATCTGAATAGGAAGGATAATAATATTGAGGATAGTTTTGACGGTGTGGTGAATGAATTAGAACCAGACATCCTGAGGAGTGAGGTTGAATGGGCCTTAAGAAGCATTGCTAACAACAAGGCAGCAGGAGACGACGGGATTCCATCTGAACTGTTTAAAATCTTAAAAGATGATGCTGTCAAGGTGATGCATGCCATTTGCCAGCAAATATGGAAAACACAAGAATGGCCATCAGACTGGAAAAAATCAACTTATATCCCCATACCACAAAAGGGAAATGCGAAAGACTGCTCAAACTTCCGTACAGTGGCCCTTATTTCTCATGCCAGTAAGGTAATGCTCAAGATCCTGCAAGGAAGACTCCAGCAATACATGGAGCGAGAGTTGCCAGATGTTCAAGCTGGGTTTAGAAAAGGTAGAGGAACGAGAGACCAAATTGCCAATATCCGCTGGATAATGGAGAAAGGCAGGGAGTTTCAGAAAAACATCTACTTCTGCTTCATTGACTATTCTAAAGCCTTTGACTGTGTTGATCATAATAAATTGTGGCAAGTTCTTAGTGGGATGGGCATCCCAAGCCACCTTGTCTCTCTCCTGAGGAATCTGTACAAGGACCAAGTAGCAACAGTCAGAACTGACCACGGAACAACAGACTGGTTCAAGATTGGGAAAGGCGTACGGCAAGGCTGCATCCTCTCACCCAACCTTTTTAACTTGTATGCAGAACACATCATGCGATGTGCGGGGCTTGATGAATGCAAAGCTGGGGTGAAAATTGCTGGAAGAAACATTAACAACCTCAGATATGCAGATGACACCATTCTGATGGCCGAAAGCGAGGAGGAGCTGAGGAGCCTTCTAATCAAGGTGAAAGAAGAAAGCGCAAAAGCCGGGTTGCAGTTAAATATCAAAAAAACCAAGATTATGGCAACAAGAATGATTGACAACTGGAAAATAGAGGGAGAAACCGTGGAGGCCGTGACATACTTTGTATTTCTAGGGGCAAAGATTACTGCAGATGCAGACTGTAGCCAGGAAATCAGAAGACGCTTACTTCTTGGGAGGAGAGCAATGTCCAGTCTCGATAAAATAGTGAAGAGTAGAGACATCAGACTGGCAACAAAGATCCGCCTAGTCAAAGCCATGGTATTCCCTGTAGTAACCTACGGATGTGAGAGCTGGACCTTAGGGAAGGCGGAGCGAAGGAAGATCAATGCTTTTGAGCTGTGGTGTTGGAGGAAAGTTCTGAGAGTGCCTTGGACTGCGAGAAGATCCAACCAGTCCATCCTCCAGGAAATAAAGCCCGACTGCTCACTGGAGGGAAAGATACTAGAGACAAAGTTGAAGTACTTTGGCCACATCATGAGGAGACAGCAAAGCCTAGAGAAGACAATTATGCTGGGGAAAGTGGAAGGCAAAAGGAAGAGGGGCCGACCAAGGGCAAGATGGATGGATGGCATACTTGAAGTGACTGGACTGACCTTGAGGGAGCTGGGGGTGGTAACGGCCGACAGGGAGCTCTGGCGTGGGCTGGTCCATGAGGTCACGAAGAGTCGGAGACGACTGAACGAATGAACAACAAAAGCACATCAAACTGCCTCTGAGGGACCTGGCTTGGGTGCTACAGTTCTTTGAGGGATGCAACAGAATTCTCAGCAACCTCACATTGCTTTTCTCAAAAAATTCCAAATAAATGACAATTCGTTGACATTTTCTGAGAAACATAGAATCCTAGAGTTGGAAGAGACCTCGTGGGCCATCCAGTCCAACCTCCTGCTGCCAAGAAGCAGGAAAATCGCATTCAAAGCACCTCTGACAGATGGTCTATTTAAAAGCCTCCAAAGACGAAGCCTTCACTACACTACGGGGCAGAGAGTTCCACTGCTGAACAGCTCTCACAGTTAAAAAGTCCTTCCTAATGTTCAGGTGGAATCTCCTTTCCTGTAGTTTGAAGCCATTGCTCCACTGCGTCCTACTCTCCAGGGCAGCAGAAAGGAAGCCTCCTCCATCCTCCCTATGACTTATTATTATTATTATTATTATTATTATTATTATTATTATCTTTATTTATACCCCGCAAAATCTCCCGAAGGACTCAATGTGGCTTACAAAGGCCAAGGCCGCCAACAAACAATAACATACACATACACAATAAAAGTCATAAGCAAATAAAAACATCAAGCAAAGCATTAGAACAATAAAAAACAATGACACAGTGACGCATTTAAAACTTCCCCTCACATCTTGATAAATGACATCATGATGTCTCCTCTCAGCTTTGTCTTCTGCAGGCTAAACATGCCCAGCTCTTTAAGCCACTCCTCGTAGGGCTTGTTCTCCAGAACATTGATCATTTTGGTCACCCTCCTCTGGACAAATTCCATCCTAGAGTCAACATCTCTCTTCCAATTGCAGTAAACAGAATTGGACACAGTGTGATTCCAGGTAAAGTGGTCTAAGCAAGTCAGAATAGAGGGGTGGCACGACTTCCCTGGATCTAGGCACTACACTCCTATTTATGCAGGCCAAAATCTCATTGGCTTTTTTGCTGCTGAATGACATTGTTGGCTCATGTTTAGCTTGTTGTCCTCAAGGATTCCAAGAAAAGTAATTATGCCAAGAGAAAAGCTATATCCACCATAGATATATGCAAGGTAGTCTAAATATTATGGCTCTCCAGAGATTATTTTTCTTGTCCAAGCAGCAGAATCTGGATGTTAGAACATACATGAGAAATTTCCATATAAAAATAGATTACAAGCACACACACAAAAATAGATTACAAGCACACAGTGAAAGCACTTACAAAAAGACCCCTTTCCATTCCACTGTATGAGGAACTTACAGTATTGTTGAGGTCAATAACAATCTTGATATTGTTGAACTTCTTATTTAGAATAACTTCTTATTTAGAAAACCTAAAGAAGAAATATCTACTCCCTTAGGTGATGCTAACTAACTTCATAAAGCACTCATTAAGCTCAATGGTTCCTGTCTTCATGCCTTATTTGAAAAAAACATCACTTTCTTCCTGCTTATTTGAATGAATGTATTATTTGAATGAATTTATTATTATATGCCTCTTCTTTTCTTCTTCTTTCTTCTTCTTCTTCTTAGGCGATCCCTCGTTGGACGAGTAAGATGGTCTTCCATTATGGATTTCCTTGTGGGTCCGTATGTGGCTGTGGAGTCCTATTCTTGCTCTGCATCTTCTTCCGCAGTGAGGGCATTGGTTTCTAGGTGGAAGGCGGTCCCGGTCGGGGTTGGCTTGACGCGCCTTCCTCCTGGCACGTTTCACTCTTTCACCCTCCACTCGTGCCTCCTCAAATTCTGCAGCACTGCTGGTCACAGCTGACCTCCAGCTGGAGCGCTCAAGGGCCAGGGCTTCCCAGTTCTCAGTGTCTATGCCAGAGTTTTTAAGGTTGGCTTTGAGGCCATCTTTAAATCTCTTTTCCTGTCCACCAACGTTCCGTTTTCCGTTCTTAAGTTCGGAGTAGAGCAACTGCTTTGGGAGACGGTGGTCAGGCATCCGGACAACGTGGCTGGCCCAGCTGAGTTGGTGTTGGAGGACCATCGCTTCAATGCTGGTGGTCTTTGCTTCTTCCAGCACGCTGACGTTTGTCCGCTTGTCTTCCCAGGAGATTTGCAGGATTTTCCGGAGGCAGCGCTGATGGAATCGTTCCAGGAGTTGCATGTGACGTCTGTAGACAGTCCACGTCTCACAGGCATAGAGCAGGGTTGGGAGGACAATAGCTTTATAGACAAGCACCTTGGTCTCCCTACGGATGTCCCGGTCCTCAAACACTCTCTGCTTCATTCTGGAAAATGCTGCACTTGCAGAGCTCAGGCGGTGTTGTATTTCGGCGTCGATGTTGACTTTGGTGGAGAGGTGGCTGCCAAGGTAGCGGAAATGATCAACATTTTCTAATGTTACACCATTAAGCTGTATCACTGGCATTGGAGAGGGGTTGGCTGGTGCCTGCTGGAAAAGCACCTTGGTTTTTTCAATGTTCAATGACAGGCCGAGCTTCTCGTATGCTTCTGCGAAGGTGTTTAGAGTGGCTTGTAGATCTTCTTCTGAATGCGCACAGACAACATTGTCATCAGCATACTGGAGTTCTATAACAGATGTTGTTGTGACCTTGGTTTTGGCTTTCAGTCTGCTGAGGTTGAATAGCTTGCCATCTGTCCGATAGGGTTATTATATGCCTATAAGCCTCTTTTTACGATAGACTATATGAATTGCAACTCAGTTTTGAACTGATGCTGAGGTTAGTTCCATAACCATAACAATTTTTCATTTTTTAGAAGTCAACACCCTCCTCTTTCCTGCCCCGTTTGGGTGATGAGTTATCTAAAAAGCTAAGTTCCAGGATATGGTAAATGCCAAATCTTGCCATGTGAGACCTTTTGGGAAGAACGTTTCCCTATGTGAGAACAAGTTAACATTGTAGAAGATTGCTATCTGCAAAATGAAATGTGAACAGGGCATCCGCCTTTGCTCTTGGCAGCTGCTCTGATGACACATGAAACGCTTTCTGCCGTTTGCTGTTAAGGCAACTTTGACTTACGACAACCCTACCAATGAAAGACCTCCAAAGAGCCCCAAACATCGACTGCCCTGCTCACATCTTGCAAACGCTAAGCACCTGTGGCTTTTTTGATCAAGTCAATCCACCTGCAGTACAATCTATGTATGACTGCAAGATCTGGATAAATTATATTTATTTTTATCCCACCTTTCTCTGCATAGGGATTCAACGAGGCTGATGCAAAACAACAGAATGCAAAACATGATGCAAAACAACAGAATTTAAAAACAGCTCCCATGAAATTAAGATGAAACAATAGCTATATACCTGTTGATAGATCCCTGGAGAGTCCTACACCTCTGAAAGAGACACTATATTGTCTTTTTTGATCTATCTATCTACATACATACATATGTAAATATATATAGATGTATATGGATATATGTAAATACATGTGCATATATTTACATATCCATCATTTCCAGTCTAGGATTGATTACTTTCTATCCAAGTCACTACCTAGCTTCATGCCAGGTCAAAGCTTAGCAAAGCTCAATTCTATAGTTCTCAATACCACAAATGACTCAGCACATAGAAGATGGCTTTGAAAAGCAGCAGATCACAGGAGCTGTCTTCATAGATCTGTCACCAGCTTATGAGACTGTGAACCACCGCCTCCTCCTGAGAAAAATGTGTAATATCACAAAGGACGACCACCTCACCCGCCTCATAGGAAACCTGCTACAAAACAGGAGCGTTTTTGTTGAGTTTCAGGGCCAGAGAAGCAGATGGCGGAAACAGAAGAACGGCCTGCCTCAGGGGAGCATGCTTGCTCCATCCATGTTCAACATCTACACAAATGACCAGCCACTGCCAGAAGGGACAGAGAGTTTCATCTATGCTGATGATCGTGCCATCACCACTCAAGCAGGGAGCTTTGAGATGGTTGAACAGAAGCTCTCTGAAACTCTAGGTGCGCTTACTGCCTATTACAGGAAAAACCAGCTGATCCCTAATCCATCTAAAACAAGACATGTGTTTTTCATCTCAAGAACAGACAAGCATCCCGAGCTCTGAGGATCACCTGGGAAGGAATCCCACTGGAGCATTGCAACACACCTAAATACATGGGAGTCACCCTGGACCATGCTCTTACCTACATGAACATCAAGTGGGTGCTAGAAACAATATCATACGAAAGCTGACTGGCACAACCTGGGGATCACAACCATATACAGTGAAGACATCTGCCCTTGCGCTATGCTACTCTGCTGCTGAGTATGCATGCCCAGTGTGGAACACATCACACCACACTAAAACAGTGGATGTGGCTCTTAATGAGACATGCCGCATTATCACGGGGTGTCTGCGCTCTACACCACTGGAGAAATTACACACACATAGGTGGTACCTAATTTTCCTACTTGACAGATGCAACTGTCTTTCGGGTTGCAAAGGTCGACAACAGGCTACACAACCTGGGCTGGCTTCAAACTCATGACCTTTTGGTCAGAGTGATCTTAATGCAGCTGACACTCAGCCAGCTGTGCCACAATCTAAGTCTGAAACAACTTGAAAGCACACAACAACAACAACAACAATCCTATCTCATCAGTCCAAATCAGGCCCACACTTCCCATTGAAATACTAATAAGTTTATATTTGTTAAGATTGCTCTTCATTTTAATTATTGTATTGTTTTAAAGTGTTTTTTGCACTACGAATAAGATGTGAAGTGTTCATGTTTTTTTTCCAAATTATAATCCGGCCATCCCAACAGTTTGAGGGACGGTGACCTGGCCCTCTGTTTAAAAAGTTTGAGCATCCCTGCTTTAAAGTTACCCATTGTAGCCAATGGGCCGAATCTCTGCTGAATGAAATGGAAAACACCCCTCTCCTTTCAGGTATCTTTCTGGTAAACGAAATGAGGAATCCAATGAAAATGGACCCGAAAAGGGCACACCTTTTGGCCCGAATGCACATGCCTACTGACGATATATTTGTAATGCTAAATTGCAAATATAGCAATGTATTTCAAAAGCATTGAAATGCTGGATCACTCCAACAACCACCATGTCAGACTACACAGAGAAGCCATTGAAATCCACAAGAAGTATGTGGACAATTTCAACAGAAAGGAGGAAACCATGAAAATGAACAAAATCTGGCTACCAGTATTAAAAAACTCTAAAATTAGAACAGCACAACAACAGAGAGGAAACAAACAAGGAAATCTAATCACCTCTCAACAAAAGATTGCTCCAAGCACTGCCAGGCAATCAAATGCTAATAAAGGTGGTCAGTTGAAACATTCACACCTAGCTCCAGCAGACAAAAGTCCTTTGTCCCACCCTGGTCATTCCACAGATATGTAAACCCTTTTTCCTAGTTCCAACAGACCTCACTACCTCTGAGGATGCTTGCCATAGATGCAGGCGAAACGTCAGGAGAGAATGCCTCTAGAACATGGCCATACAGCCCGAAAAAATTTACAACAACCCACTATTTCAAAAGCACTTGTTACCATTATACTTTGTATACTCTTCGGGAATTATAATAATATAAAAACAGATCACTTCATTGAAAGAAAGAGACTGGTACTTTTTTTGCACAAACAAAATGTTATTAACCATCAGGAACATCTAAGAAATCAAAACAGCTAGCAAAAGACAAAAGTGTTCTTGGGACTACAGGAAGAGATTGCAGCCCACCATTTCCCTTGCATCATCTGTTAGCGCATGTCTCCATTACCAGAAGGACATCTGGCCATGTCTTTGAATCATATCAGTGAATGTCTGGAAGTTGTGAAACGAACATGTCTTACCTGGTAGGTGTTGTCAAAGCTGTCATACATGAACCTGGTGATCAAGGAGGTCTTGCCCACTGAAAGGAGGAAAAAACACAAACACAGTAAGAGACTATCAAGCACATCTCAAAACATATCCCTGGTATTATTGTAGTGCCCAATTAATATGCTAATATACAAACAATTCCTTGAAACGGAAACTAAATTGACAGGAATTGCATTCGGAGAACCAAGATAGTTTAGACTGGTAGTTAACATAGATAAATAAAACTAAATTCGTTCACATCTAAAGTAATGTTATTTGGACACACAGAGGAACACATGAGCTGCTTTTACCAGGGCTGCAATAATTATGCAATGTATGGCTATATTGTTGTTGTTGTTGTTGTTGTTGTTGTTGTTGTTGTTGTTATTATTATTATTATTATTTTACTGACACAAAAACACAGTATGACACAGCAAATGGGATATATATGCTGGATTTCACATCACAAAATCACAAGCTGAACACTTCCCAAGCATCTATTATTATTATTATTATTATTATTATTATTATTATTTTACTGACACAAAAACACAGTATGACACAGCAAATGAGATATATATGCTGGATTTCGTATCACAAAATCACAAGTTGAACACTTCCCAAGCATCTATTATTATTATTATTATTATTATTATTATTATTTTACTGACACAAAAACGCAGTATGACACAGCAAGTGGGATATATATGCTGGATTTCGTATCACAAAATCACAAGCTGAACACTTCCAGCATCTATTATTATTATTATTATTATTATTATTATTATTATTATTATTATTTTACTGACACAAAACACAGTATGACACAGCAAATGAGATATATATGCTGGATTTCGTATCACAAAATCACAAGCTGAACACTTCCCAAGCATATATTATTATTATTATTATTATTATTATTATTATTATTATTATTAATTTCCTCTTTCCATGTACCAAGGCAGGAAACAACATATTAAAATACAACATATACAACAGTTAAAAACACATAAACTTGATCAAAACAACATGGTAAAACAATCAGTATAAATTTAGAATCCATAATATAAAAACCAAAATTTAAAAGTTGTAATTTAAAAATCATCTGGATAGGCCTGCTGGAAGAGACTGTTCTTTAATATTGTTTTTTCATCAGACTGTGAATTAGTTGGTTCAGAAAAAATCCATTGCATTGGCATGCTGAAGCTGCATTCCTAACTTGAGATGGTGCAGCCAGGAACTGCTATTCTGCCAAATTCTCAGGGATATTTATCTCTCATGTTAGTACTGGTTACTTTTGAAAATCCAAACAAACATGCAGTAGGGAGTGACAAGTGAACTGAATTTCCCCCAATAGCTTTGGTGACTGTTGTTTTACATGCATGCTGACTTTTTATAAAGGACCGAACACAAAGGTATTTCCATTTTCCTAAACGATTCTGGCCCAACTTACCTGTCTGAACACATCTTCCCTTATGAACTTGCTAGGACCTTAAAATCGTCCGGGGAGACCCTGCTTTTGATCCTGCCTGCGTTACAAACACGTTTAGTGGGAACAAGAGACAGGACCTTCTCAGTGGTGGCCCCTCGGCTATGGAATACCCTTTTTTGGGGACATTAGATCGGCCCCCTCCCTCTTAACATTTTGGAAAAGAGTCAAGACTTCGTTGTTTGAGCAAGCATTTGAAAATGCAAAGTAAAAGACACAGGAATTGGAACAACTGGACGACGAGATGGGACAATGTTTTTTATTAAGAGACGCAAATGATTTATGTTTTAATATTCTTGTTATGGTTTTGTATTATGTGTTAATGTTTTTAAATGTTTTATGGTGTTTTTTGGGCATCAAATCGTTGCCATTGTAAACCGCCCTGAGTCACCTGAGGGCTGAGAAGGGCGGTATATAAATAAATTATTATTATTATTACTAGCTGTCCCCTCTCCAGCAAAGGATCACCGCCTTGTCGGGGCGCTGGAGCTTGAGCACCTCAATGATGTCATGGGCGAAACCGTGAAGGGACACCCAAGACGGGACGGTTGTGGCAGAGAGGTCAGACCAAGCGTGATCCCTGGGGAAGGCAATGGCAAACCACTCCAGTATCCTTGCCAAGAAAACTAAATGGACCAGTACAACCAGAGATATGTCGGTATGCCATTGGAAGATGGGACTCCCAGGTCGGAAGATGGCCAAAATGCTACTGGGGAGGAGCAGAGGATAAGTTCAACTAGCCCCAGATGTGATGACGCAGCTAGCTCAAAGCCGAAAGGAAGGCTAGCGGCCGACGGTACTGGAGGTGAACGACGAATCCGATGCTCTAAAGATCAACACACCATAGGAACCTGGAATGTAAGATCTATGAGCCAGGGCAAATTGGATGTTGTTATTGGTGAGATGTCAAGACTAAAGTAAGCAGAAGTAGATCAGTTCTATGAGGATCTGCAGAAACTACTGGATAATACACCAAAAAGAGACATTATTTTCATTACAGGAGACTGGAATGCCAAGGTGGGAAGTCAAATGACAACAGGGATCACAGGCAAGCATGGTCTGGGAGAACAAAATGAAGCGGGACGCAGGCTGATAGAATTTTGCCAGGAAAACTCGCTGTGTATAACGAATACTCTCTTCCAACAACCTAAAAGACGGCTTTACACATGGACCTCACCAGACGGTCAACACCGAAATCAGATTGACTACATCCTTTGCAGCCAAAGGTGGCGGACATCCATCCAGTCGGTGAAAACAAGACCTGGGGCTGACTGTAGCTCAGATCACGAACTTCTTATTGCCCAATTTAGAATAAAACTAAAGAGATCAGGGAAAATACACAGACCAGTTAGATGACCTCACTAACATTCCTAGCGAATATACAGTGGAAGTGAAGAACAGATTTGAAGGACTAGATTTAGTAAACAGAGTCCCAGAAGAACTATGGACAGAAGTCCGAGACATTGTTCAGGAGGCGGCAACAAAGTACGTCCCAAAGAAAAAGAAAACCAAGAAGGCAAAATGGTTGTCTGCTGAGACACTGGAAGTAGCCCAAGAAAGGAGGAACGCAAAAGGAAACAGGGATAAGGGGAGATATGCCCAGTTAAATGCGCAATTCCAGAGGTTAGCCAGAAGAGATAAGGAACTATTTTTAAATAAGCAATGCATGGAAGTGGAAGAAGACAACAGAATAGGAAGGACAAGAGACCTCTTCCAGAAAATTAGAAACATTGGAGGTAAATTTCAGGCAAAAATTGGTATAATAAAAAACAAAGATGGCAGGGACCTAACAGAAGCTGAAGAGATCAAGAGAAGGTGGCGAGACTATACAGAAGATCTGTATAGGAAGGATAATAATATTGAGGATCGTTTTGACGGTGTGGTGAATGAATTAGAACCAGACATCCTGAGGAGTGAGGTTGAATGGGCCTTAAGAAGCATTGCTAACAACAAGGCAGCAGGAGACGACGGGATCCCAGCTGAACTGTTTAAAATCTTAAAAGATGATGCTGTCAAGGTGATGCATGCCATTTGCCAGCAAATATGGAAAACACAGAATGGCCATCAGACTGGAAAAAATCAACTTATATCCCCATACCAAAAAAGGGAAATGCGAAAGACTGCTCCAACTTCCGTACAGTGGCCCTTATTTCTCATGCCAGTAAGGTAATGCTCAAGATCCTGCAAGGAAGACTCCAGCAACACATGGAGCGAGAGTTGCCAGATGTTCAAGCTGGGTTTAGAAAAGGCAGAGAAACAAGAGACCAAATTGCCAATATCCGCTGGATAATGGAGAAAGGCAGGGAGTTTCAGAAAAACATCTTTCTGCTTCATTGACTATTCTAAAGCCTTTGACTGTGTGGATCATAATAAATTGTGGCAAGTTCTTGGTGGGATGGGCATCCCAAGCCACCTTGTCTCTCTCCTGAGGAATCTGTACAAGGACCAAGTAGCAACAGTCAGAACTGACCATGGAACAACAGACTGGTTCAAGATTGGGAAAGGCGTACGGCAAGGCTGCATCCTCTCACCCAACCTTTTTAACTTGTATGCAGAATACATCATGCGATGTGCGGGGCTGGATGAATGCAAAGCTGGGGTGAAAATTGCTGGAAGAAACATTAACAACCTCAGATATGCAGATGACACCACTCTGATGGCCGAAAGCGAGGAGGAGCTGAGGAGCCTTCTAATCAAGGTGAAAGAAGAAAGCGCAAAAGCCGGGTTGCAGCTAAACGTCAAAAAAACCAAGATTATGGCAACAAGAATGATTGACAACTGAAAATAGAGGGAGAAACCGTGGAGGCCGTGACAGACTTTGTATTTCTAGGTGCAAAGATTACTGCAGATGCAGACTGTGGCCAGGAAATCAGAAGACGCTTACTTCTTGGGAGGAGAGCAATGTCCAGTCTCGATAAAATAGTAAATAGTAGAGACATCAGACTGGCAACAAAGATCCGCCTAGTCAAAGCCATGGTATTCCCTGTAGTAACCTACGGATGTGAGAGCTGGACCTTAGGGAAGGCTGAGCGAAGAAAGATCGATGCTTTTGAGCTGTGGTGTTGGAGGAAAGTTCTGAGAGTGCCTTGGACTGCGAGAAGATCCAACCAGTCCATCCTCCAGGAAATAAAGCCCGACTGCTCACTGGAGGAAGGATACTAGAGACAAAGTTGAAGTACTTTGGCCACATCATGAGGAGACAGGAAAGCCTAGAGAAGACAATTATGCTGGGGAAAGTGGAAGGCAAAAGGAAGAGGGGCCGACCAAGGGCAAGATGGATGGATGGCATCCTTGAAGTAACTGGACTGACCTTGAGGGAGCTGGGGGTGGTAACGGCCGACAGGGAGCTCTGGCGTGGGCTGGTCCATGAGGTCACGAAGAGTCGGAGACGACTGAACGAATGAACAACAACTATCCATTCTCATAAAAACTCAGGAGGGCTTTGATTACGCTTTCTTGCCCTGGTGAAGGGAGTTGGACTGGATGGCCTTAAGTATTTTCTGTTGGTCATGGGGGGTTCTGTGTGGGAAGTTTGCCCCAATTCTGTCGTTTGTGGGGTTCAG